AAAAAAAAAAAAAAAAAAAAAAAAAGAACATTACCTTGGTCATAGTGCCGAGGAGATCTACTAGGTTTCTAGAATAACTAATTGGCTTGACGTGTACTTTTGATTCTAGGGTACTCTGTTCCAACTTCTCGAGTCTTTCTTAGTTTGAGAGCACTAGGGTCTAGACTCTCTAATTGCCACTCACAACTTTCATGACATCCCAGCCCATGTGTGGGAGGTTGGTATATGCCTCGCTATCAAATACGGAGTCCGAAAATGCTATGGCATAGATATGGGATGAATGTTCGGAATTTTCTGTTGATATGATCAACACATGGATTGATTCTCGATAGACACGTCTAAGTAGGCCGCCTTGTCATCTCGAAGGCTTTTCTAGTGAACCTTGACCAAAGGAATCACTTTATTATGCAACTGTTTCATGTTGCGAGCCAATATCCTGATGTGCTTCTCTTTATGAGATACGTCTTCTCTAAGCGATGGTGCCTTATATTCTACGATGTGTGTGGAACCACCGTGTACATTTGTAGCATAGACATGGAACACATTATGCGCAACTACAAGAATAGGTGGCAATGTTAGTTTGTATGCCCTATCCTCACTAGGATCTTGAAGGGGCCTATGAATCTCGGTTCAACTTACCCTTCTTCTCAAACTTTAACACCCCTCTCATAGTTGCAACCTTCAGAAAGACATAATCACCCATGACAAACTCGAGGTCTTTCCTACAAGAGTCTACATAACTCTTTTGTCGACTCCTTAAAGTCACTGCCTAATCTTATGCACTGCTACATTTGTAGCCTAGACTAACTCTAGTCTCAAAGTTGTTGCTTGTCTACCTCTTCACAGAATGTCGAAGTTCGGCACCTATGCGCCATATAGAGCCTTAAACGATGTCATCTAAATAATCGTTTGATAACTATTATTGTAGATAAATTCTATAAGGGGCAAGTGCTCGTCCCAACAACCTATGAAAGCTATAATACCAACCCTCGTCATGTCTTTTAGGGTTTTATTTAACCTCTCAACCTATTCATTTGAGGATGAAAAACTGTACTAGTTTTGAGTTGTGTTCCCTATGCCTTTTGTAGGCCCTTATAGAACTGTGAGGGGGAATCTAGCATCCTAGCCTGATACTAAAAAAATAGGCACAACATGCTTAGGGACTATCTCGCTAACGTATAGTTGAGCCCACCAGTCTATTACTTATATGGTCTTACCTAGAAGTGTCTTGGTCAATCTCTCCATGTTAACTCAAATGTCATTAAAGCTTTGTTTTGTTCTTGATAAAAATTCATGGTAACATCTCATTTCCATTAAGGTATGTTTAATGGATATAATAACCTTGCAAGTTATTGTCTTAGGGCCTTTCCTTCCTGACTAATCAAGCAATGCTCACAACTCGCCACATTCTTCTTCATTTTGGTCACTAATAACTCAAGTCCTAGTATATCTTTACGGTTGAAGGTATAAGATGTATTGTGGGCTATAATCATGATCTCTTTCAAGGTCTCCTAGTCCATATGAAGAGCTCATCCTTATTAGTCAACTAGGTCAATGTTGTTAGAATCTTAGCGAAATTCTAAACAACATCCTATAGTAGCTAGTTGGATTTAGAAACTTTTCACTTCTGTGGTTAAGTTAGGCATGACCGTCTTATATTTATCTCAATCTCAAATGAATCTACTATGATCCCCTTATTCGATACCATGTGACCCAAGACGACCACTTCCTGCATCCAGAACTCGTACCTTGAGATCTTAGGGTACAACTAGTGCACTCTTAACATAGTAAGGACTCTCCTTAGGTATAACTTGTGAACCACCTCCATCTTGGAGTACGTTAGTATACCATCAAAGACGACAATGATGATCATATCAAGAAAGTCTTATGAACACCCAGTTCGTCTAATCCTTGAACTCTGCATGGTGTTGGTCAAGCCAAAAGACATAAAGAAAATCTCTTAATACCTGTGACGGATCCTTAAAGTTGTGTTATGTATGTCATTTCTCTAATCGTCATCTTAAGGTAACCTAACCTTGCAATGATCTTATAGTCTTTACTGTCTCACCAACGATAGCCTTATAGTTTCTTCTCATGTGGCTAAATCTTACCCTCATCATAGCATGACACCCTTGCTAGCTTGAGCACTATTACTTCTCTAAGTTATTTGCATGTTATTTGAGAGTATGTAATCCTTTCATGAGTCTCCTAATGTTCACTTAAACTAGCTCCCATAACGAGTTTTCTCTGGTGGTGTATCTCATCACTAACTCATTCGAGCATGTCAACCTTCAGATCTTATGAAACTCACATTAAGCTTTTGTATCATAACTAATCTTTTTAAGGTCTAAGACGCTTCCCCTATAGGTAGGTGTAACATCCCATGTCTAGGTTTTGGATTTGACACCTAGCATTTTCAGTAATCCCCTGCACCATTAACATTACCACCACGGTAGTTCCTGAATATGATATCTAGAGGTTTTACCTCTTTCTAAGCATGCTTCACAAGTTTCTCAAACACAATCGTGTGTATAGTACTAAAGTTCAACTCTTCGTAATTAAAATGACCTGTTTTAGAGTAGGATCCTATTATCACCGTACCTAGTTTTTCTTTCTCTAGATAGTGTAGAATGGGTCATAGTTTGATCGTTTAACTATTACTCTCGTCTCCAAGGTTCGTTGGTCTACCATGATGGTTTCACATCCTTAACTTTGTGAGTGTGCTGGTCCTGTCCCAAGGACGACTTAGAATGCGGTCACATTATCTTAATAACTACATGCAGCTACGGAGCTTAGATCTCTCCTCTGTAGTCCATAGTAAATTATCATCTCTTGGGTGATCCTTCATCAGAAATGTCCATCACCCCATAACTGATAAATGGCATAATGCGCCCCGCGCATTTTTTGGAAGTCCATAACTTAAACTTAATCTCTGAAGACTCTAACCAAAGTCTTGCATTCATGAGATCTATAGCTCCTCTCTCAAGATTAGTGAATTTTCTCGAAATGCCAACTTATTCTAAACATTCTAGGGTAATGATTTGCTTGTGATGTGCTTAATTGCTCTAGTAATCTCCATTGCTTGAGTGAATTGTTATGTTTGGTCCTACTAAGTGATCTACAAGGAGGTATACACTATTATATCTTAACCTACTACATTGTCTGAATCGATAGTACCTATATTTCTACTACATGATTCTTCGCCCCCTCTCATGTCATGTTTACAGCACAGAGGTCCTATTCAAGAGACTCTTGGCCATTTCCACGCAAGACGGTCACACCTGGATTTTCTTGACGCGCTACACAATTCAAATTAGGCCTAGATCGAAGATACCTATATTTCTACTGCATGGTTCTTCGCCCTCTCTTAGGTCTTGTTTATAGCGCGGAAGTATTGTTCAAGAGACTCCTAGTCATTTCCATGCAAGATAGTTGCACCTGGTTTACATCGACACACTGCACTGTTCGACTTAGGCCTAGATCGACAGTACCTATATTTCTATTGCTAGGTAGGGGTTGCATTAAGGGTGTATCAGAAGGGATTGGAGGCGAAGACTCTGATGATACGGTCATACGACTACTGGGACTATTAAACTTCTTAATCATGTATTTCATAGAAGTCTACTAGGTTCTTTAGAGCGTTTAGGCGGTTTAAATCTCCTCAGAGCTAATCCTATCTTTGGGTACACTCTTGTTTAGACCTTGATCGCCGCTCATGATCCTAGGGTGCATGGTCTACTAGAAATGTACTGACCTAGGTCAATGTGAAAATTGCTCTAGCTCTAGCGTACTAATCTTAACTTGGTTCACTCATTCATTTTATGTTAGGTGGACATTTCTATCAATCACCTAAAGCATGAAAAAAAAACACTCTAAACATTACCTTGGTCATCTTCAGGTGCCAAGGAGATCTATTGGGTTCCTAGAGTGGCTAGTTGCTTTGATGCGGACTAATGACTCTATGATACTTTGCTCGGACTCTTTGAATTTTTCTTAGCTTGG